TCAGTCTTATTTAGTAAGGCAGAGTAAATTTATAGTAGCTAATCAGTGCTAGCTTATTTGTACTTTGCACATCGTTCTGGACAGCGGCCTACTCACTAGGCATGTTCTAATTCTGCAAGGTGACAGAAGGTTCTAATCACATGGGAGGCCCTATTCAGTATAGAGTTCTTATTCTCATGTGCAGTAGTCTTTAGCAACCACTCGGATTCACTCTAGAAATGAGCCCAGTAAAAGATGAATTCCTGTTGGCTTACTGTACAACTCTTCACTGAATAAGGCAGGTCATTTATGAACCTTTGCAGATGCATCAATGCCATGTAGCGGAGCAGGTGACTCCTCTTGCATCTCCCTTCTGATTACCATGTACATGTTCATATTTATGTATTTTATTTATATATGACCTCTTTTAGGTCTGACTGTGTTTTTATATGCATGAACTAGTCTCCGTTTTGATTACCTAGAACAGTCAAGCTGTGGCTGTGTGTTAATGTATGCTCATATGTATCTGTGCACAGCCAGCCATAATTCTGTGTATGCATATGTTCCCTTTACATGCTTTCGGCTGTGGCTGCTCTTAGCCTCTGACTTCATGTTATTTTTCAGAATAACTATCAGTGACCCATGAGGAACACTCGTCACGGTATGTCACGCATTTCCAGTCATGTGACCTGTGTGCCTCCTCTCCTTAGTCATGTGAACTTCATGTGTGTGGTGCACATGTTCCACCCATTTACTGTCTCTTGCCCTGTTGCCAGGCAGTTTCGCTCGTAGCAACACCTACCTGCTACTTCAAATCCAGGTTCAAACAAATGTATAAAATGGTCAAATTAGCAGTACTAGGGTAAGCTGTGGGAACCAATCAGATTTTAGAATATTGAAGTCAGATCAATTACAGAAAAGGTCGGTTGGTTTCTTTTGAACACGACACTGTGCTATTTTCTTAATTGACTAAACCCAGTTGACTGGATAACTGAAGTAGTTGGTATGGAAGCAAGTTTGGCTGTCATAAATGTTTTAGACATGCCACAAAGTAATGGTTTCCAGTTTCCCAGGCCAACTTCATTATCTCCTCCCTACCTCATTAGGGTCATTGTTTAGTAAAGCGAAGAGCAAAATGCAGTATACCAATCAATTCCACCACCACTTCTCTATCAATGTTCTGATGACTGTTGTGGGTTACAGCACATTATTGTACCATGATTGAATAAAGGTCTTGGTCCAAAGACATCGGTGTGCAGAAATCCATAACTACCAGCTGAGATCAGCAACAAATTTAAAAATGACACTAAATCTTAAAAAAGCATTCAAGTACCTTAACTATTAAAACAAATACAGTTTGTGTATCACTCGGTTGTAGATCCTCAAATCATCTCTGAATTTGTGCTGCCACTGTCTTTCCTTCTGGAGGGGGGCTGCTTTTGTTCCTCATGGTCCCTGTGTGTGTTGTACCGCTCCAAACTTGCTCCGGTGATGGACTACAATCTCTCGGTTCATTTACTTATTTGTATTGAAGTTATAGTCCATCACAGGAACGACCTTGGAGCGGTGGTGGCTACTTTACAACGCACACAGGGACCTTGGGGAATAAACATAGCACCCCTCCAGAAGGACGGACAGTGTCAGCACCAGTTCAGAGATGATTTGAGGATCTACAGATGAGTGATACGGAGATAAGCTACATTTGTACTAATAGTTATGGTACTTGAATGCATTTTTTAAAATTAAAAGTGACACTAAACTCATTTAGCTGTAGATCCTTAAATAATCTCTGGATTCAGGCTGACACTGTCCTTCCTTCTGGAGGGTGGCCACCACTCCAAGCTCGTTCCAGTAACGGACGACAATCTCACGTCTAGTTTACTAATTTGTATCAATATTGTAGTCCATCATGGGAGCAAACTTGGAGTGGTGGCTACTTAACACACAGGGAACACAAACAGGAACTACAATCTCAATAACAATTAGTATGATGCTATAGTGTAAACAAACAGTTTTCAATGCATCCCAAAATATTTTCCTAACATTTTTTCAGCCATCCATTAAATGCAACCTGCCATAAAAGAAACATGGAGGTTGTCCTTGCTGTCCACTGACTTCAGTCATTTGAGCACTGATCCAGATAAAGTATGCAGCTCAGGAAAGTGAGATATTCCTGTCTGCATAGTTATTCCACTTTGATGACTAAATTGAAATTAGTGGATTTGCATGGCAAACAGGAAACTTATCATTTTCAAAAAGAGGGGTCAGCAATGGCCACCTTAATGGTTTTGTCATGACAGGTTTCCTTTAAGTTACAGTTAGTAATTTAACAGTAAGCCCCCGAGATGGCACTGAACCACAAGATGCATAAAATAATAGCACTAAGAAACCTTTGACAATATTGTGAACATTTGAATGAGATACAAATTACTAAGCAACTGCTGGCAGGCTTCCTCAGCAACATCAGGCACCTGAGAGCCATGTGCGGGTCCTGATTAAAATAAATCTTTAGTAATTTGCTAAGCTGAAGACCTATTGTTTCCTCAAACTGGACTTTCTGTGCTATCTTCCAGAAGGAATGTTTGCTTATTTTTGGACACCAGTGAGTTAAGAGTCTTTCACCTTTCCATAATCTGTTAAAATAAAGTTATACATGTACACGAATATGCAGAATTAGGTTGTTTCTGACAGGTGGTCTTGGGTTGGATGATATTCCTTCTTACCCATCCTTAATTCTTCCTATTACCTCTTAATGGCTCTTATTCCTGGCTGTTCCTGAATTATCCACCCTCCTTCCTTTCTTCTTCTCCTGATCTTCACTCTTCATTTTCCTCCCATTGCTGTTGAGTGTTGGTGTGCTCTGTCTGAAAATGATTGTGCCTGGCAACTCGGACTGATTTGAACTCACCTCCTCCGAAGCTCCTTACTGCTCATGCTGATTTCTTCACAGCTTATCCCCCTGTCATGTCTTACTCCTGCAATTAAAGTTCCCTCAGAACATTGCCTTCCTCCATATTACGTACACCTTTTGTATCAGTTGCTGCATGCCTTTATTAGAAGTGACAAACAATGTTGTTGTGCTTGCTCTGTGTTATTCACACAGTCAGCCCACCTAAACCTGACAAGCGTAAACCTCTCTTGAAGTTAACCAGCCATTTGTATTTTGGAGATAAGTGGCATTTTTAAAGTCATTCCACCTCAGATGGTGGAGCTTAAAGTAAGGTTTGGGCCCTGACATTTTGCAATGATTTCCAGTATATGTATTTTAATGCAAGCAGGCTTTGCTGACACCTTAAAACTGTGAAAGGCCAACTCCAGGTATTTTGTTTTGGGTAGAGCACTAGGAAATCTCTCAAAAAAGAACACAAAAATAAAAAAAATTGTAGCATGGGGGGGAAGGATTAGATTACAGGGGTGTCAAACCAATTTAATCGTGGGCCGCATCAACATTATGGTTGCCCTCAAAAGGTATCTGTAAGACTATATCAATGTATCTAATCTTTATCATAATTGCCCCTGCATTCGATTATCACTGGTTTTAGTGATAACTTAATACCTAGATGTGAAAGTAGAAGTCTAGGAAATGGCCTGGTGGGCCGGATTCGGCCCCTGGGCCTTGAGTTTGACACATGTGGATTAGAACTTCTAACGATGTTCTTGGTTCTCTGTCTGTTTGATGCCTGCACCTTCCCGATCTCTGCGGGTGTCATAAGGACAGGACATGAGGGAAAATCTGCCCACTGGTGTCCCAGACAGAAATAAAAACCTCACAGTAATTTACCCATTTCTATCCAAAACTAAGAATACGATTTAAGACCACATCTGGAGAAGGAAAATATCACTAGACATTGATGCTTTGTAGTGATCTAAATGCCACATACAGTTCTTTTTTTACCACTGGTATAATAATAGAAGGTTTCTTTGATCAAACTGAAGCTACCACTAAGGACGCAATGTCTAAAAAGATGCTTTATTTTGGCTGCAGGATATGCTGCGGCCTTCTATAACCTTTTTAATACCGCAGTTTATGTTTTTGGCAGATAAGTGTGTCTTCTTTTTAGCCAAAAAAGTTTTTTTGTTTTTTTTTCTCATTGTGGCCTAGCTTGTGTTGACTAGCAAAACCTGATATATAAGAAGGTACTGTATGTAGTGGCATTTAAAGCATAACTAAACTCAAGAACAAAATGTAATATATAGCACTCCTTAGATGTGGTGGCTGCATACCATTTCTTTTTTCAGGCTCAGAACATTTTCAGCAAGTACAGAAATAGGCCGTGTCCATGTCATTTCCTGTGAGCTGAAAGATCTTATTTGTCAAAATGACTAATACCCATTATCCCCCATGTAATGAAAATTAACAAAGGCAGACATGTTTGAAGTCCCGTCTGAATGATAACCATGGCTCCTTCCATAGATACAGTGGAGGAGTGAGGGTAGTCACCCAGGTACAGAAGGTGTGTTATTTGCAGGATTTCCAGGGGAAAGTAAAGGGGGGGGGGGGGGGGAGAA